CGCATTCACCCTACAGTTGGCAACACTTTTATTGCAGACAGAGTCATTTCTTTATGCCCCAAGGATGAGTCTATGGATACATCCATGGGCACTGGCCTTGCTGGGGAGCCGTGTGAGGGGGGGTCACTTTGGCTCGCATCAGTATAAGTGCGTGCTTGGGGATTGACACTGTACATTGACAACTATATGAAAATGATTCAAAATGGTTGATACTTGCTGGAGTACAGCTGCTGGATATAAAGCTGAATSCTGTAGAGATTTAACTACATGGACAGCTTAAAATGCACTATATGATTCTGAAAAAAAGACATATGTTAGAAATTATTTCACCAGGATGTAAATATGGACTTSCCACTTTTCCATTTACAGACAATTAGAACTATGGTATTTACGCTATGTTCAGTGCTGTGGTGTCAAAGTTTCCTCAATGGTTGAACAAACCATTATTAATTTATGTGTTTCATTGTTTATTTTGACAAATACCTCCAAAGGTAAAAGAGAAGATCCAATGACCTAAAGAAATGGTTTATTTATGAGGGACATAGTTGAGAGCCCATAAGCAGTGAGGAAATCAACTCCTTCTATTCTTTTGCTTGTGAGCTTACTTCAGCAACTAATATTAACTCACATTAACTCAGTAGTATATATAAAAAGTGGGGGGATGCTAGGAGAGCTACTTCTCACTTTGGCTGGCCCTGTGAGACACTGAGGGCTTTAAATGCCCCATCAAACCAATGCCCAAGGCACCGGTCACCTCACCAAATCATTTCCTTTGCTTACTGGGATATAGGACAGAATGCCTCAGTTGAAGAAAATAGGGAAGTTTCCTAGTGACTCCAATGGGAGTTGAATATGATACTTAAAAGCACTTAGGAGTCTCTGTTCCTCTGGATTTCAGCCCATAAGAGTCATTTTTGTATATGAGCCACTGATTTTGTTCCCACTGACCCTGGTGGGCATGTAGTCTGCTCAGCTTCTTTCGGATGGTGCTTAGGACATTTGCAGACCTGGACTGATCTAAGTCCTAGGATAATATGATACTCTTTCTCATTATAATGAGACTGTCCTCAGCTGTTCAAAAGAGTTAATTGGGCAATATTTGTGTTAACATATGGTCCATTCTTGTTCCAGTATCTAACCAAGCTGAACTGCAATATGTGATTACAGTCTTGTTTTATAAACTGCAATTTTGAATGCAAATTTGCTTCTGAAACTAGTATCACTGACCTATCTGCTCTGTATAAATAGAAGGATTCTTGGCTTAGACTTCTCCAAATCTTTCCAAAAGATAATATCAGATCCAGCAAGGAATTAAGTGTCAGCTCTGGAGGACTTGCTTAGATCCAAGTGCAGCAGTGGGCCCAGCTGTAGCAGTATGGGCAGTATGGGCTGAGCTGATTCTTTGAGCTGCCCATCCTGCACAGTGCTTTGAGGGAAAGCAGYCGCATAACACACCTCTAACACCACCTCTCACCAGGGATATCAGCTTGATTAATGAGCTAATGCCATTTTATTACATTTTTGGGCATCATCACTATGCAAGTATCCTATAAAACCCTCTGTCCTGCTTTACAGGTTTATCATCTTCTTCCTAGTTGGTACTTCTGAGATTAGGTTGTGCTGCATTCTGGCTGGAAAAATAAAATCGTGTGGTACGTGAAGTGCTAAGCTTGTCTTTCTTGMACACTTTCCATGCTGTAATGAAACAGAAGTCTTTCGAAACAGACAGGAGACACACACACACACTGCAGGACCAGTCAGCAGCCCAAAAGTGGGCACTGCCATGAAGCTGCAATGGAGTCCCGGCCTCGCACTCCTCTTCTCTCCACCGAGCAGAATCCCAAACTCCAGGTGAGCATCCTTATTTCCACAGCATTTGCTAAGGGTCTAAACTTAGACCATAGCGCAGGCTTCACCTCTCCCCTGTCATCTCCTCCAGAACAGAGAGCAGTGCTATCAAGAGGCTATAAAACATTGCTAGCTACAACCCAGGTAGCCAGTGTAAGCAAGGGATGTTGCCACCCCTTGCTCCAGTATTAGACTAGGCAAGTGATTTGCCTCTAGATGTCTTAGTTCTGAAACTGCTTTCAGTTTAACACTAGGTCTCAAATACAACAATTTGAACCGAAATGAATAAATGAATGAGGATTTTCTGTCTTTAACTCCTGTCTATAACTGTCTTTAAGGTCCATTTATCATACTGCTTTTAAGACATCTTTGATGAACAGAAGCACTTCTGTTTTCAGTGAGGATCTCTGTTAACATGACACAAACCCTTTAAAGTGCAGATGTGCACCCTGAGATGGATCTGGATGCACTATGATGCTGAAGCAGCCTAATCCCTCCTAGAGAAGATAATGTTTAGACAAATTTATTTSATGCAGTGAAACACCTGGCGAAGCCTATTTAATATAGTCCTTGCATTTAATTAACTCCACTGAAGGGTCACTTGCCGTATTCCAAACTATGATTATTTTCTTTTGTTGTAATTATTTTAAGATCCTCAAAGGAAATCTGGAGAGAAAAAAAAGTAAAAAAATAAAATAAAATAAAATAAAATAAAATAAAATAAAATAAAATAAAATAAAATAAAATAAAATAAAATAAAATAAAATAAAATAAAATAAAATAAAATAAAATAAAATAAAATAAAATAAAATAAAATAAATCAGTTCTCCATTAACCTCAGGAACCAGAAGTCATCTTACAGTAAAAACAGACAGTAGTTTAAAAAACAGGATTTCTACATGAAGAATAGCCAGTAAAACCTGAAAAGAATTCTGAATGAAGAAATTGTTGCTAGGCATTAATGTCAGAAATACACAGGTACGCATTAAATTATCATACTGAGAAGAAAGCAAGAGAAAAAAAATAATGGATGTGAAAATAGGAGACCTTGTGGTCTCCTTCATGTGAAAACAGGAGACCTTGTTCTCCTTAACTGGAACTGCAGAACAGGACTCAGACACTTACATTCTAGATAGCAAACCTGTGTAAGGTAAATCACTATTTATTTATTCATTTAATTGCAGAATCAATGCTACATGAAAGGATATGTGCAACATACCCCTGGAGTTGCACGGGCTGAATGTAATTACATTGGTCTCATATAAAATGTTTCTGCTAGAGCTGCTTAGGTACTAGCATGAGGAGAACTGTGCCTATGTGGGGTAATTCAAGTATGGCACTTTCAGAATTCTCATGCTTAATCATAGAACATAATGAGATGAATAAGAGGTTACCTTCCTTCTTTAAAGGCTAAATACAGTCATGCRAAGATCACATTGCAAGTCCCTAAATCTTTACAAAACACCAGGCAGTGYCCTTCCCTTTCACTGACAGTAACAGGTTTGACCTGTATTTTAATGCCCCTAAGAACTAGAGAGTAGAATCYATATTCTACTCTGCGCAGGTATAAAAAGGGATCAAAGCTTGTTTTCAGGCAAAAAAGGTATTTTTGCCTCTTATTCCTTCAAACAATTAAGGCAACTTCAATTTCCAGTTAAAATGAATTCAGTTTTGCAAGAAGCATGAAGTTTATTTCATTGCAAAAACTGTGTATTTACTATCCTTCTATCACCATTAGTCAATAAAACTCCTCTGAAAAAAATTCCTGGGGCTCCGCCTTGGCATTGAAAGTGCAAGCTTGTTCCAGACGGTATTTCAAATTCAAATTGACGGCATTTGAAATTTAGCATGAAAGATGGTATATGATGAAGGGGAAATGTAGTGAGAGCCCCCTGCTTAGTGTCGGGGTGCTCTCAACAGAGCTCTTTAATACTTTGCTGCACTTTCTGCAACCACCTTTTAAATACAGTGGCACTATTCCCACCGGATTYGCCACGTGGCTTCAAATTGAGATGAAAAGGAAGTTCAAAGGGAAAGTGGAGATCCCAAGGAGAGACAGATCAGTTAAAAAGTGGCAATCAGGGCAGGAACCAAAAAAATATCCCTGGGAGAACAGGCAGGCAGGTCAAACAGCAGAGCCCATTCCCGTGCTGCCATGGGCTGGGGCTGTTCACCGCTCCTCAGCGAGCACGCAGCGGTGCCCCCTCAGCAAATAAGTGAAT